CAAAGCTGTATGGACCTTGTAATTTAACTGTCTACTAGCCCGAAACTAATGTTGCTCAAATCAATGTTGTTTTCCATCTCATTTTGATTAAATAATTTCAAGAAGGAACTGTATAATCCAACAGTTACGTCTGTCCAATGGATCCCTGTATTTATTAGGTTAAATTACTGTTGAAAATCAGTTTTCATGTACTTCTTCACTACACTTACATGTTCCTCTTTTACCAATTGTCATAATATTTCAACTTTCTTTCATCCTGATTGGAAGCAGCATATTCTTCAAATATTTACTTACTGTTCACTTCACGTTTCTTCTTTCGTACACTTTTGGTGCAATCCATTTTTGTGATATTATAAGGCGAGTTCTGTTGTTCAAATCGTGTCGATGGTTACACTTGCTCTTTTTATTGTACTATGATCTCTGTTGCAATTTTCTAAAATTGTCTCATTTTTCCCAGAATTTGTTTACTTATTACGTTGTTATCCACGCTAATCTGTATATATCTTAAATTAAAATATAATGTTACTAGCGTTTTTATCAACATATAAAGGGTTTAGGTCTTAATAAGTATTGCTCTAGATATATATTTAGATCGGTATTGACGGTGAGTTAAGTAAAACAATATACACTTACGTATATCAAAGTTGATATAATGGTACTATCAGCTGTGTCCTTATAAGGAAACATTAGACAATCATTGACCGTGTAGCATGACTGTCGGTTGAAAATTATAAAATCTGTTCCTTAAGCAACAATTCAGGAAAAATAGGTGTTTTAATCCAGTAGCTGTTATCGATCTTTCCAGTATTGAGTTGGGTCCCTGCCTCAGGTTTCATTTGAGATGTCAACCTCTTTATTATGCCATAATTTTCACTTTGAGTTACATTTGATATTCATTTTTGTTTTTGCTGGTCGTGAACTTCTTGACACATTTATTCTTTTGTGACACTGTCGCTACAATCTCCAAGGTCGGAAAAAAGGTTTGTTTTCGCCAGTAGTTATTATAATTATTTTTCTTTACATATACTATTGTATATTTGTATTGCCATTACGATAACAATGATCGAATTGCATAATATAAATTTGCAGTAATAAATTAGTTCATTATTTACATTATTCGGACTATTGTCCTCATCTTTTTCGCCATATCTATCACAACGTTTCGGCTTCAGGTGGTTGGAATGTCGAACCGAACCTTTTATTTCGCTCACTGGGGTAGACTGTTCTAATTCCACGTGCCATGTTTGATGGATATCAGTTATCTCCTGTTAATTTCCCTCTGAAAATTCTCCACTGCCTTAACCGGGTATTGAACTCACACTCTTTGGGTCCTGTCAGTGGATCTAACCAACACCTTTATCAAACTGTGTCATGTGTCCTTGAGGACATCTGTGTATGAATTTCTGGGTATTATAAAACTAATGTCCTCAGCAACCATTTTTACCAGTGCTCATATGAAAACATTAGGTTTATAATTCATACCCAGATGTGCTCAAGGACACAAGGCACAGTGGATAAAGGTGTTGGTTAGATCCAGTGACAGGACCCAAAGAGTGTGAGTTCAATACCCGGTTAAGGCAGTGGAGAATTTTCAGAGGGAAATTAACAGGAGATAACTGATATCCATCAAACATGGCACGTGGAATTAGAACAGTCTACCCCAGTGAGCGAAATAAAAGGTTCGGTTCGACATTCCAACCACCTGAAGCCGAAACGTTGTGATAGATATGGCGAAAAAGATGAGGACAATAGTCCGAATAATGTAAATAATGTACATAATACCTTATCTCAGAAATATAGACAGACACAAAATTAGTTATTTAATATTTCCAATATATTATTATTATTACTGTCAGTATTATTAGCATTTAGCAATACTGGGTGAGTGAATAGTAAGTAAACAATGTCTGGCTGGGGTCGAGATATTTAAACTCAAACTACCCCTCATAAGACCAGGTATGATAATGATACATCTGCGACATCCATCACAGTTAATTATTTTCGCTGTAGTGACACATTTTGCATAAAAGAATCGAATAATCCATCAGGGGTGGGGTCCGTTGAAATTTTCCAGTGCAATGTATTTCTCAAGTCCATTAGCTGTTATCGCTCTTTCTAGTATCGACGGATGTTTCCTCCCTAACCATTTATTGGAAGTAGTGTGCAGTAATGTGAAATATCATAATTATGCCATTAGTTTCTCTTCGAGTTACATGCGAATTTTGTTTTTTTGGTATTTCTGGCAGTTCTTTGATTTTGCTTCTTTAGCGTCAATCCCCGATGTTCAAAGAACGATGGTCTTTACCAAGACCTTCAGGTTTCACTTGCTCAACGCTATTTTTCACTATTAATCTTGGAAATCGGTTGTATACAGCTGACAGATTAGATATTTCCGAACCGGTTTGGCGCCATTATGGAGAGAAATGCACAGTACGCTCACATTAGGGAACTGGTCCAACTCGTTAAATTCGGGCAACTGATAAGCAAATCATAGGATATTTAGCGCAACTTATATTAATCCAGTAATCAATGCATGCTAAATTTGACGTCTATAAATTAAGAAGCGAAGTCATAAGAGCTAAGTCTGGTGTCTGTAATTCAAGGCATTTATTATTATTATTTATTTTATTTTTTTTTTTTTTCTTTGATTTCTGGCGTTTACGCATTTCTTTCCGGGTCCCGCCCAGGGACCTAAGGTTAGAAATGGCGTCATGACACTTTCCACTGACAAAAAAAAAAAAAAAAATTACATAGATAAAGCCCTTCGTAAGGTGTGGGTTGTACTTGTCAGAACAATTTTTTTGTATCTCCTTGAGGCATGGTCTTCCAGGAATCCCTTCAATGAGTCTACTGCAATCTTTTCCAACCAGTCCTAGGGCTCCAACTTCAACAGGGATTGTTGATGTTCCAATATGCCACATTTTCGAGATTTCTATTTCAAGGTCCTTGTACTTTGACAACTTTTCGAATATCTTCAAATATACATTGCAGTCAGCAGGGACTGCCATATCAATAAGGAGGCACCGTTTTTGTTTGTGGTCTTTAATAACAATATCTGGCCGGTTGGCCTTGATTGTTCTGTCAGTGTGTATTGTGTAATCCCATATTATTATTATTATTATTATTATTAATATTATTATCATTATTATTATTATTATTACTATTATTATTGTTGTGGTTGTTGTTGTTGCCTATTTGTTTGTTTGTTTGTTTTTTGGGGGTATATTTTTGTTTTTTCCTGGCATATACTCATTTCTTTCCGAGTCCCAACCAGAGACTTAAGGTGAGAAATGACATAATAAATCACACATATTTTACATAGATAAAGCCCCTTTGTAACGTGTGGACTGTACACGTGAGAATTTTTTTTTTTGTATTTCTTTAAGGCATGAACTACTAGGAATCCATTCAATGAATCTATTGGGATTTTTCCCAATCAACCCATGGGATCCAACTACAACTGGACTTGACGATAGGACATTTTTAAGATTTCGTTTTCATTTCCTTGTATATTGATAGTTTTTTTTTTGAAGAACTTCAAAGATACATTGCAGTCTGCAGAGACCGCCATGTCTATAAGAAAGTACATTTTATCTTTGAGTGTCTTTGTTTACGATGTGTGGGATATTAGTTTTGATTTTTTCCATCTCCGGATATTGTAAAGTCGCATAAAATTGCTGCAGATCCTATTTCCGTAACCAGGGCTTCGTAGTGTTCATACAAATTTGTTGCAGTTTCCTTTCCGTAAAAGTTGCAGATTTTCCAGATTTATATTGGCCACTATGTCATGCCGCATTTTATATTCAGTGGGTGTTACTACTGCGCAGCCTGATTCAAGATGGCCAATTGTTTCTAGATATTTGTCACAGAATCTGCATTCTGGTCTAACACAATTCTTCAGTATGTGTGATGGGCAATTTCTTATTAACAAACATTGCTCCTGTGCCGCGAAAATAAAACCTTTGGTTTCAGCTTTTAACCCCGCACTACGTAACCATTGATAGGTACGAATTTTAACTTCATCAGCTTGTTTGGTACCGGCAGATTAGTGACCTGAAGCGGTTCATCTTGCTATCGTTTATTATTATTATTATTATTATTATTATTATTGTTGTTGTTGTTGTTGTTGCTGTTTTTGTTCCTAATTGCCTTTCCTTTGTGTAGTACGAGTTACCTCAGAGTCTCAACCAAAGAAAAAATTGTAGCAAGCCACCCATATTCCCTCCGTATTCCACTGGTGAGAATATGGTCCCATTCGCGCAGCTTCTTCCGCGAACCACTGTTCTGTGGACCCAACGCCAAGTCGCTGTTTTTCCCCGATCATTGCAATCTTAACAGGTTCAAGGTTAGCTCTAACTGTTATCTTCCCCTTTTATCTGCATATACTCTTCAAGTAACCTCTCTACCACGAGTGTCCTCCTCGTTCTTTACAAGGCGAAACTTACTGCAAATAAAAATACAGGTGATGTACAGGTCCAAAAAAATGTTATTATGGTTGCTGCATGGAGATAAATCTGCAAGGTGTGAGAAATAAACATGAGTCTGTCTTTTTTTTACAATTCTCATATATGGGTCGCCTGGAAAATTCATATGATGACCAAGATAAAGAATCAAGTAGGCACATCAGCTTGTGAACTAAAAGTCGTGCAAGGATACCAAAATACAACAGGTAGTTCCTGGAAACTCGCATGTCTTTTAATCTACTAACAGGTGTGTTTATTTATATCTTGGTTAGCCTATCAACTTTTGTCCAATAGCTTATTTCCTTTGTTCCATATAATCTTTATTTAAAAAAAAAAACAAACTATTATGTAAATTTTTGTGACTTTGTATAATATTTATGCATTACACCCTAATCTTTATTCGGTAAAAATTTCATTACTAATCATGCATTACATTTTAAGTAATGCACATATTTATGTCTTTGTTGTTTCCGTTCCTTATATTATGGCCGCTACTGTATGTTTGTCGGCGGACACTGCAACACCTATAAGATTTACATGGTTTATCACAAATCTGTTTCTTCTTCTTCTTTTTCTTCTTCTTCTTCTTCTTCTTCTTCTAAGATTTACATGATTTATCACAAATCTGTTTCGTCTTCTTCTTCTTCTTTTTCTTCTTCTTCTTCTTCTTATTATCATTATTATTATGTCATGAAGTTTTATGTACAATTGTTTGTATTTCTTTAAGGTATGGTCTACTAGGAATCCGTTCAATGAGTCTATCGAAAACTTTTCCAATAAATCCGAGGGCTCCAACTACAACTGCAATTATTGTAAAGGCCCATAAAATCGTTATAAATCTTATCTATCTAACCGAAACTGGGTGATGTTAATATCAGATTCTTGTAGTTTCATTCTCGTAAAATTTGCAGATTTTCCAGTATAGATCTTGGCCCACTCTATCATGCCGAGTTTTATATCCAGTGGGTGCAAATATCGTGCAACTTGATACAAAATGGTCACTTGTTTCTGGATATTTATCACTGAATCTGCATTTGGAGTCAACACAATTTCACGATCTGTTAGTAAAAATAAAATCTTCGGCTTCATCTTTTTAACTTTGAACTTCGTAACCACTAATTGTACGGGACTTGTCTACATTAGTTTATTTGGTAGGGCAAATTATAGAACATACTTTGCAGTAGGTTTGGTTTGATTTGTTTTGATTTACGGCCTATCAACCACAAGGGATATTTAATGACGACAAAAGTTTTATTGCTGGGAATGTGTTTCTTCAAAAATCTATGTCTGGGAATATTTTTCTTGAAAAATCTATAGCTGGTCATATTTTTTTCCAAAGAATGTATAGCTGTTTGTATTGCAGGTGTTTATTTATTTTTATTTTTTTTTTGCTGATAATAGATTTTCCTTCAAAAATTATTGCTGGTAATAATTTGTTTATTACAAAGTATTTCTGGGTTAAAAACTAGTTTTACACAATTTTGGGTGTTAACTAATTGACCATAGTTGGGAACCTAACAGATGCTGCCACACCGTGTCAGTCTGGACCCGGGAACACCAGCTATTAAGAGGTGGTTCCACGCTCCTCAAAACATCCTTATCAGAAGCCCTGCTGCTGGACGTAGATTATCGTCTTACCCAGGACACGGATTAAGTTCATCGTCATACCCAGGACGATCTTTGCATGTATGGAATGGTATTATTTATTTGCAATTCTTCATCCACTTGAAATTCCCTTTTGAATTTGTTGCCTTTCTTATTGATGAATAAAGTCTCTTATTTACTTCATGATCATTCATCATCCATTCTTCTGTAGTTTACAGGTATCATTGAAGACCATAAGCCAGTTCTAACTGAATTAATCTTCTGCCTACTTCAGATCTGGGTACATAGAGACGATCAGTATCATATTTAGGATGATACATGCAGTGGCATGTTGAAAAGCTTTCTTGTTTTGGCATCCGTTCGCTTTATATCAAATATGGTTCAATTAATGATGATGCACTGCACTACAGAGACAGCCGAAGTGTTTATGGCTGAGATAATGCTTTGCGACTTCAACTAAGTATTTAACACCAGGCGCGCACGGCTGTAGTACTCCTTTTTTTATAAACATTCCTTCATTTGCATATGCTGTATCCCGTCTCATTCACTTTTCTTCTTTTTTCTGTTTTTTCTTCTTCTTCTTCTTCTTCTTCTTCTTATTATTATTATTATTTATTATTTCTGGCGTTTACACATTTCTTTCCGGGTCCCGCCTAGGGACCTAAGGTTAGAAATGGCGTCATGACACTTTCCACTGACAAAAAAAAAAATTACATAGTTAAAGCCCTTCGTAAAGTGCGGGCTGTACTTGTCAGAACAATTTTTTGTATCTCCTTGAGGCATGGACTTCCAGGAATCCCTTCAATGAGTCTACTGCAATCTTTTCCAACCAGTCTTAGGGCTCCAACTACAAAAGGGATTGTTGATGTTCCCATATGCCACATTTTCGAGATTTATTTCAAGGTCCTTGTACTTTGACAACTTTTTGAATATCTTCAAAGATACATTGCAGTCAGCAGGGACTGCCATATCAATAAGGAGGCACCGTTTTTGTTTGTGGTCTTTAATAACAATATCTGGCAGGTTGGCCTTGATTGTTCTGTCAGTGTGTATTGTTTAATCCCATAGAATTGTAACAGGTCCTATCTCCGTAACCGGGTCTGGGTGGTGTTCATACCAGTTTCTTTCAGTTTTCTTCCCGTAGAAGTTGCAGATTTTCCAGTGCAGATATTGGCCCACTCTGTCATGTCGGGTTTTATATTCAGTGGGTGCCAACACCGTACAACCTGATACAAGATGATCAATCGTTTCTGGATATTTATCACAGAATCTGCATTTTGGGCTGACACAATATTTTAGTATATGTGCTTGATAATTCCTAGTTAGCAAGCATTGGTCTTGCGCAGCAAGGATAAAACTTTCAGTTTCCGCTTTCAACCCTGCACTACGTAGTCACTGATGGGTACGGGTTTTGTCTACGTCAGCTTGTTTGGTACGGGCAGAGTATTGGCCATGAAGCGGTTTATCTTGCCATCGCTTCTGTAACTGGTCGGTTGCATTCGTCTTTGCTGTCTTTTTTAGGTATTTTGCAGTTTCAGCCGGTGTATTGTGCTGTAGTTGCATCTGTACGGATTATTATTATTATTATTATTATTATTATTATTCATATTCTTCTTCTTCTTCTTCTTGTTGTTGTTGTTGTTCTTCTTCTTCTTCTTCTTCTTCTTATTATTATTATTATAGTTTTTGTCCTTTATCGATAAACAGAGTACGAATTTTATATGTAAATCAAGATGATGTCTTAATTTTCTGGAACGATAACCCAAATAGACCTTCCAAATCGGTGGTTGATGGATGATGAACGTAATAATACATGTCATGGATCCACAGGGAAAGGTCAGATCGTAGTGCAAGAATAGATTTCTAATACAACACCGGTTTAAGAGTCTGAAATTATCACCCCATCATTAGATCAGTACTTCGCCTCCTATGTTCTGTGTCCTTTCAGGATGGGGTCGATATTGGCCCTCCACAAGTTCCCGTCTCTTGTAGCTCTTAGCAACTTATGTATTGTTTCCAAATCATATTACAACACTTTCTCCATCATTTGATTATTTCTTCGCCTCATATGTGTTGTGTCCCTTCAGGATGGGCTCGATAATGGCTCTCCACAAGTTCCCGTCCATTGTAGCTCTTAGCAATTTTTGTATTGTTTCCAAATCATATCACAACACATTCTAACATTATGATATACTAAATTTATTGATTTCTTGAATGAGCGAAGACGGCAATTTTTTTTGAAAAATGTGTTGTGTCCCCTCTGGATGGTGTTGATAATGTCTCTCCACAAGTTCCCGTCCATTGTAGCTCTTAGCAATTTTTCTATTGTTTCCAAATCATATTGCAACACATTCTCACTTTATGATATGCTAAATTTATGGATTTCTTGAATGAGCGAAGACGACAAATTTTTTTGAAAATTTTCTTTTGATCTTTTCATGTAGTACAAAAACATTATATTCCAATTGAATTATTTTAACAGTGAATTATGCGGGTGTGTTTGGCGTATATCAATAACCAAATGTTAAAATACACTGTGCACGAATCTTCTTTGACAAACACGCTAAAACTCTCACCATCAGAATCTGCACGATTTTTTTTTTCGTCTTTTACATACCGTATCTCTTCAGTGAGGCAAGGTGGAGTAATGGATATCTGCTCGGATTGAGGAATCGGAGAGGCGAGTTCGAATCCATTAGATTCACTTACGTGATAATATCCTTGGGAAGGGTATGAATTCTCTTCTTCTCCCCACCACAGCTATGGGTAAATACTACGACAGATCGGGACTTTGGATGGCAACTGGTTTACTGCAGTAAGAAATGGCAACCTACTGCAGGAAAAAATCTGCCTCATTATTTATGTATCGAAAGATACATGATCCCCTAAGCGTGTATCTTGCATGTCACATAACTGACTATCCCTTGCTGCACTTTGTAGCTCTCAGTATAGCCTGTGATTTGGGGATATCTCCCAATCACTATTCTGCCAACAATGTACACAAGCTTTTAGGTAGGTTGTTCGCCGCTTTCCTCTGTCTCGCTCTTGCCTTTAATATTTTCTTACATTTTCCAAGCCCTCTTTCCTAATTGCGTGCTATACAATGTTCAAGAGTTTCTTTCTACTAGTAAATATAATAAACGTTATTTTTTTATTTTATTTTCTTCATTTCCTTAAAACTTTCTAAAGGAAGTTTTAAGGAAAATGCTCACATATTCAGTCCATGGTAATGTCATCATCAGATTTAACGTGATGAAGATTTAAATGTTCATGGAACTACCTACGCGAGTCATTATTCTACAAATTAGCAGCCCTTGGGGAAAAACTAAATAGTAATCTCTTCTTAAATTTTGCACACGGGTGGAAAAAAAACGGTTATTCGAATCTGTGGTAGTTGCACAGTGTCTCTCAGCTGTAGATATCCCTACTGGTGTTATTAAAGAATGGAAACACTTCTCGTGAAAATAGCGATAGGGTGGCGATAGACTTGCGACGAAGCGCCCCGGGGGAAAAAGCATGCTTAATAATGCTTAATACGGCCCGTCAAAAATGTGTAAATTTCTTTTCATTTTTTGTTTCAACCTTTGGAAGTAAAGTCTGATGATCCGCAGTCCTTTAAAAGGGCTGTGGTGAAATAATTTATTACATGGAAACTTTAAGTGGTATGTTTTTATTCAAATTATTTGCTCTGGATTTACATTGAGCTCTCTGGATTTTATCCTCCTTGGGTTTACCCATACGGATTAACCTAGTTTTTAATAAACTAACTAACCAAAAATATATATATATATATATATATATATATATATATATATATATATATATATATATAATATTAGTGGAAAATATACATACATATGAAAAATATATCTAAAAATTCCCATACATGTATATTTTCAGAAAAAATTTTTCAAGAGGAAGGATCCAGCTAGAACTCAATGTCTAGGACAGAGTAAGGATATAATAAAATTATTATATATATATATATATATATATATATATATATATATATATATACAAGAAGAAGAAGAAGGAGAATTATCGACGTTGGTATTAAATTTGAAGGAAAGCGGACGTTGGATAAATATATAGATAAA